TACGTAAGTCCTTCTATGCACGCGATTGCCGAAGTATCGAGGCAAGATGACTATTCAGCTTTTTATGGCCTTCCAGCGTTTATCGTTGTCGCTGGACTAGGAACTGCGTAAGAAAGGCACTTTACTGCTTTACTGGCCCCTCCAAAGCGCACGCTGTATAACCGAGCGAAGGGTAGTTTTTCGTGACGCGTTTTTCGTGATGCAGTTATTTAATTGAACCGATTGTCATTATTGACGCACATGGCAAATTTTAGGCCTTAGAGTAAAATTCTCATAATTGACCAAGGGCGATCGGTAAATGTTAAGTTCATCATTAGCACGACGAAAATAATGGCATATGGATAAGTGGATATGTGACTGCCTACCCTCATTACCATGGTTGCCAGACCTGGGACCGGCCAGCTTCCGGCCAAAAACGTAACACGACGGCTTCGAATTTCCGGTCGATGGTGTCCGTACTCGCCACTAATGACTTACCGCCAAAAATTTTGTTCAAATAGGCGCCACTAACGGCCGGATTTGCATCTGTTAATTCCTTATTTGGTAATCTTGCTGTTGAATTGCGAGAATTACTTAGCAGTCAAAAATATACAAACTACAAAAGTTGTAGCAATACATGTAGTCAAATTCTTGGAAGAATAGTAGCTTTGGTCAAAATTCATTTTATTATGTTAGCAGGGACAGTCTAAAAGTGGTTAAAGGTGGTCGAAGTAGCCAAAACGTGGTGCGAGGTGGTGGCAACAGCGCTTACAAAAATTAAGGGATTTGGCCCGGTACATAGCAACAAGTTCGTGAACATCCAGGGGAAGTTTCGCTGGTGCGCGCTCACAAACACTTTTTTGCATTGCTTTATGGTATTTTGTAGCCAGAAGGATTGTATACCTAGGTGAGAAAACCGTTTGCGCGCGCAACATCCGGTTGCGAAGTTATGAGGGTATCAAAATTCCAAAAAGTTTAAATGCATTCAGGTGTACCAAAAGTCTCATTATGGACCGATCCCTTTCAAATTTTGCGCGTAAATGCACATAACCATGAAGATCGTTTTGACATGGATCCAGACTTCTACGATTTTTTTCAAATTTTAAAATAAATTTTAAAATTTTTGAAATTCATTTTAAAATTTGAATAACATGTTAGAACAGTGGATCCGTGTCAAAACGATCTTCATGGTTATGTGCATTTACGTGCGAAGTTCGAAAGGGATTGGTCCATAATGAGACTTTTGGTACACCTGAATGCATTTAAACTTTTTGGAATTTTGTTACCCTCATAACTCCGCACCCGGATGTTGCGCGCGAAAACGGATTTGACGCCTATGTACACCAATCATTTGGCTACACAATGTCAAAAAGCAACCCAAAAAAGTGTTTGAAAGTGCGCGAAAGCGAATATTCCCGTCAATGTACACGATTTTAGCGCTATGTACCGAGCCAAATCCCTTAAGAGGTATTACAAATTAATATGAAATTATCCTGCTATACCTACCCTAGGCAGGCTAGGCTTAAGGCTGTTAATACCGTATGTTCCGCAATGGCCGTCATTGCCAATACCATACAATCTTATCTTAATAACTGCATTTGCTTAAAATTTTAAAACGCTGTCTTACCAGAAAATAAGCCATCAATCCCACTGGAAGACAACGTTGGCAGACAGCAAATACACGGTATATAAGCACCCGGCAACTGAAAACCGGGATGCAAGAATGTAATATGGTAATAAACTAGAAGTTACCGTAATTATCGAATTTGGGGCACACCCTTTACAAGCGCACCACCACATTCGTGCTGGAAAAATAATGGCACCCCCCCCCCGAAATTACGGCACCCGGAGCCATAATTAAATGTCCAGTTCAATAAACCTGTGATTAGACCGTAATTTGCGTTTTACGATTTTTAGACATACTCTGTATAAGTGAACATTTTTAACCGATAACAATTTCCTCACTTACAATCGATAAACGGACATAAAAATACGGTAGCGCAAAATATGCTCGCAAACATTGGCTTACAGATAACAGGATCTTCCCATGCAGGTTTTGTAATTCCAAATTGCTACCATTTGCGAGCTAGCCATATACCAGGTAGCTGCTGCGCTCAGCTGCAACAAAGCAGAGTGGGCTGTTGTTTCAACAAATTATGGTTCCTTCTGAATTTTATTGTTTGAAAAATAAGGGCACTTACTCCATGGTATTCCAACTATTTGCCGCCCAGTGATAATTACGGTGCTTACTATTTATTCCTATTACGATTCGGTTATGCAGTACCAGCAATAAGCGACTTCCAGATCATGTATGCGTTTATTGATACTCGTACATTTCGTACCCGCCTTGCACCAATTACGTACAAGATTTATCTAAACTCGAAGAGGTCAACATAACCATAAAATATTAACCAAAAATGTAGATTAGATTTATTATGGCGGAGCCAGTACGGTTTATTCCCGTTAAACGACGTGAAGATAAGCAAACTGCACAATCCATTCGTCAAAGATGTCGTCAGTCTTAAACCAGCATTCATAGCGCCCAGCATCCCGTATTTGCACTCGCTCGAGGTACAGCGTCGAGTGGCACCAGCAATTGTCTTTCGCGCTGTTGGTGACATTTACATCAAACCGCATGCGCACATCAGGTTGAAATGCCGGCACTCCAGGAGCATAAATGAGGTCTTGATCAACCCTCCACATAAACCGCACTCCAAAACCCTGGTTATCTGCGACTGCGGGTATGGTGTCAAATTTTACTGCACACTGAAATTCCGCCGTCGCCCCTACCTTAGCCGTGAAATTCAGCATGGACGGTTGGAAGACTTGGTAGGGTAGCAGACGCGGACTGATCAGATACCTGTGAAGCACTTGGATAAGCACAAGGACTGTCGCGTATATCGCTTATAGATACGGTTGCCTAAGTTAATGCACCACAAGCCAAAGTCCTTTTTATTCGTCACTTTTACCGAACTCGCGGAACCAAAGAGGAATGAAACAAGTGCGCTGAGGTAAGCAACAGAAATTAAAGCTTTTCCAAATTTACTACCTCGAATTTTAGCAGAAATTTTGAAACTAAACCTCCTTCGCCCATTGCCCGCAACCAGTCGCCTGTACAGTTTACCTCGGTTTCCCTCGTAACGGGACGAAATACATTCATTTTATGTCCCATGTAAGTAATTACAACAGATTTAAACCATCCTTTACAGTACTATGATGCAGGTATGACAGAAATTGTTCCGACTGTTTGATACTGAGCAAAATTTCCAGCACACTCCTGCGCCAATAAATTCTAACCTTAAGCGCGAAATTCGAGTTTTTTAACAGCAACCCCGTAATCTGTCGGTGATAAACTCGTGTGAGAAAACACTATGCCGGAAAGCACAATGGGAGACCAAGGATTGTCAAGTTTTACCGTCCTTTTTATATGGCTAAACTCGAACGAGTGCAAAACGACGGAGCCGCCACTTACCGACTGGTTACCACTGGTTCCCCGTTGACCATCTGCAGACATTCGTAGTTCCCGGATAGATGATGCGAGAGGTTAAGAACACTCATAAAAAACGGGGGTAAGTCGGTGCGCTATCCCAGCATCGTGACGGTTGACGTTACGTTAGTTTCGTTCGGAGGGAGCTTGCAGCTGCAGACATGCAGCTTCGTCGGCAACTTTTCTGATTTAGCACCTCGAGGCGTTAGTAATTCCCGATTGAAGCGGATCAGCGGGAGCTGTTCCGTGATGTTGTCGCCACACGGGACTGTCGCGTCTCTGCCCTCCGCTTCTCGCACAACGATAAGCCAGCCGGCTGACTTGGCACCACGGACTGCTGGGCAGTAATCTCCAGACATACCACACCGTCTTGGCTGCTTTTCAGAGAATCTTCCATCAGTTGCCGCGCTGTAGACAAACCAAAAACGATTAAAGCACAAAATGCGTCGAGCTGTTGATACTTGATAATAGTATATGTTTAAAAACCTAAGAAAACCTAAGAAAACCTAAGAAAACCTAAGAAAACCTAAGAAAACCTAAGAAAACCTAAGAAAACCTAAGAAAACCTAAGAAATCAACACTGCACAATCACAAAGGACAATTTTCTCTTTTCAACACATCTTATCCCTGAAAGCGCAAGTGCTTTTGAACGAAGCTCGTGATTCCTTTTTCATAAACAGAGGTCGCATGCGAGAGTCTCGCGCGATACGAAAGCACCACCAATCGGTGTCGTTTAAAAGTGAAAGTCAGTGTAAAAAACACCCGTACCATTTAAACCAGGCGAAAATGTCCTGGCGGCAGTGGTCGGACAGGCGTCAACGGAATACCGCAGCAAATTAACGGCGCCAGTCAGGCATACCAGCATTACTACTAGTATAGGAATGCTACGTATCATGTTTCCTATTCCTTGTCAATTACTGCAATAGTAAACAGCTGCGATAGAGAAGTGGGTATTACAGTGAGAGGCTTAGAGGTACTTTAGCAAAAAAACTTAAAAATTCTGCCTGCAGTGAAGTCCTGTTGCGTGTGAGAGGGGCAAAAGAGACGTTTTCAGTTACCGCGTGTCAGTGGGTGGCTGCAACTATCGCCGCAACTTTTTAGCCCCCAACGCCAAAAATACTGCAGTTTAAACTTTGAATTATTTTTAAATTCCACATTCAGTTTTTCAATAAATTTTTATATCATCCTCTCATTTTGTCGTGTAGAACAGACCGAAATATTTTCAGTTTTATTGTACGCGACCGTCTCAACTTGGATTGGCCGGGCTGTTATGCGGATTCTGTAACTCTTCAACTGGTAGCTGGGCGCCTAGAATCTGTCGCATTGCCTACCACCACGGCTCCTGTCTCATTAGCGTCAAGCCCCTATCAGGCGGCAGGCAGCTACCGGTCCTGCCTACAGTTACAGCACTTCGATTTGCCAGAGGAGCAGTGACTGGAATTTTCCTGGTGGGAATGTTAGTGTTTGAGGGATACATGGGAACAGGGAAGGCGCACTAATCCCACTCACGTGCTCGGTTTTCCTGCCGTTTGGGGCTAACCGCCTATAAGGTTGGGTGGTGGTTGCAACCGCCCACGGACACGCGGTAACAGAAGATGTCCGTTTTGCTCCCCACACGACACACGTGCAACATTCTGCAGCAATAATTTCAGAGTTTGTTTTTCAATCTTAATCAGTGCAGTTCTAACCAAATTCTGTCGTACTTGATCACTATTCCAACCGAAAAAGAACAGGAAACACAATGCGCATCGTTTCTGCATTAGTGTTAATATGCCTGATTGGGGCCCTTCATCTGTTGCAGTATCCTGTCGATGCCTGCCATGTCAGTGCCGCCAGCACTTACTCGCCTGGTTTAAATGGTATGAGTGTTTTTAGCTCAGTTTTAGTTTTTGCGCTTCACGAAAAGTACGAAAATAAGATTACGTAAGAGTGGCAAATATCCGTACATCTGCAGGACTGTTAGAGATTTTTCGGACTGCATCTGCAGTTCAGATCCCTTTTTGCGCTGCGTTCTCAGCTCTGCTGTTCTGCTGTCTTAGCTATCAAAAACATCTCTCGCTTCTTTGCGAATTTCTATTGTAATTTTTATTGTAATTTCGGTGCGACCGCAGGTTTTGTCTCAGGTACTGCCTTTATGTAAATTTCGGTTACCAGTAGGCAATTCCCTGTGGCAAATCGTTAACCTGCAAAACTCCCGTTCACGCCAAGTTGGTGGTGTGTCATTTTAATTTTCTGCCGAATCGTGCAGCGCATGTTTTGCCAATGTTTTTAAAGCTTGTAGTGTAGTTTTCTTTTGCGCATTTATTGAGCAAAAACAACGGAAGGGATTTTCTGTTGTGGTGCCGCGAGAAACAGCTTCCGAAGCGAAGGCACCGATGGAGCAAGTCAAGGCAGTACAAAAACAATTTAATTCAGCCAGAAATGCAGAAACGACTTTAGGCGTTTGGAATTGAGCTCAGTTTGAGGACCTCTAAAAGAGTGTTTCATGAACAAAAGCTTAAAGTCTACGGCTAGACCAAACCTGCAAACCGCCTAGGGGAGAAAAATCGTTTTTTAGCGCTTGTTGAAAAAAGGGATGGTGCCTACTGCAAAGTGTTCTAACGGAGGGTCGTGCGCTTTTGCTCAGGATGGTAGTGGAAAAGTAAACGTACAAATCCTTACGAATCGTATTTTGTGGTGCACGCTCAAGGAGGGCTTTTCATGGCTGCATGGTGCCCTCGGGAAGGAGGTCGTCCTACAGTTTGGCCACGCCTACCGTTATACCGGTGCCCTGCCCCAGGAGAGGCTTCAAGTTAATGGTGTGAATTGCACCCTGAAGGGCCAGTGGACGGCCAAGTCAGCAAATTTAGCATCCTTGAACTACCGCATAAACGGGAATTTAAAACCAATTTATGTGGGCAGTGGGAGTGACGAAACCGCGATAGCTTGACTTCAGCGCATTTTTGAAGTGATCTACTCTAGTTTTAAAATTCCCGTAATTCATAACTAGTTCGAATCTTGGAAATCTCAGTTGCAAATGGTGTTGGATAGATTCAGTAATCACATTAAAGTTAAATAAAGTCAAATTTGTTGACGGGGGGTTCAAGGGGATATTTTAAATGGGCACCGCCAACTTGGCGTATGTACTTCGCAGAAAACCAATTGAGCACAATAAATATTAATCCTAACCATAAGAGCTGCGCTCGGTCTACCTATGCACTGTTCGATGCAGTTTCTTAGTATATGGCAAACCGAGAAGTTTTCAATATGAGAACTTTTTGTTTTCAACTGTATAGCGTCAGGCATCGACGTGTGACCATATTCTCTGTCGTAATTCTTTTTTATCTACAGTGCTGCGGCTGCTGGATGAAGCGCTGCAACGCAGCCAAAACGGGGTGGTGCATCTGGAGATTGCAGTCTCTGGGCAGCCGTTCCATCAGCCTATTCAGCTGGCGTTGTATACTGCTGTGCGGGAGCCGGAAGGAGCAAACGTGACACTTCCGTGTGGCGACGATAGCATGTTGCAGCTGCCGCTAATCCGCTACAATGGCCGGCCTGTGCGACCTGAAAGTGGCCGATTAGAAGAGGTGCTGCAGCGGGTGTATCTGTGCCGCTGCAATGTTGCCTCTCCCAACAGTGCCCTCGACAGCGGTCTCGCCTTACTGACCGACGATCCGTCCATGCCAACCTACTTCCTTCAGCTGTACAACTTCGGCAACCATTTATCCGGCACGTACGAATGTCTGCACATGGTCAACAGGGAACTAGTGGTAACCAATCGGTATGTAGCGTCGGCGCTTTTTGTGTTTTTTTAAGCATAGTAAATCTACGAGGTTGAAAGAGATGTTCCGACGTCAAATATTTGGACATTCTGGTTGCTGCTGCCTTAAGCCGCTGCCATAGTTGATGTTCGCGCAAAAGACAGAACAAAAATCAAAAGACCGAACATCAAAAGACAATTTTGAAATGAGAGTGTTCGAGACAGTTGGGCGAACCGAGCAGAATTTTTTGTCTTTTTCGCTCATGAACGTAATCGTTCATACTCAGAAATGGTTCGGCAAATCTCGCTCCTCCTACGTATGCACAACCGTTCTTGGTTGTCGTACAACAGAGAGGATATAACTGCCAATTTCCAGTTTTCATTCTAATTAAAATGTTGAGTTTCCAAACACTGTTACAAATGGCTGCCAAAAAAGGATATCGGGAAGAAAAAGCTGCCGGCTTCCCTTGCATTTCTTGCTTTAGCTCGACTGGTGCTAACAAACTTAAATAGTTGAACCAGCGGGAATGGTACGTTCGACCGGTTAATCTCAGTCGCCGTCGTTATGGCGAATTCCACAGAATGGTGACTGAACTGTGGAATTCGGATCCACACTGCTCCATGCAAGTGTCGGTTACAATTTCAGCAACCTTACGGCGTTTAGGTGTTCTGGGGTTATTTTTCTGGGAAACAGGGATATGTTGGATAAAAAACGTTCATGCGGCATGGCTTTTCGCATCTTCCTCCAGATTTTGAGTAAACTCGATTTCCCTTTCCTCCCCGTCGCTGGACGAATCAACGTCCTTCTGTTCGATATTATAAAATTAATGTGGAGGAATCAATCAGTTCAATTTTTTCAGCAAAGTTTTCAATCAAAACAAAACTTAGATGGTACAGCGAGCGTGGTTAGAAAATGATTCACTTTGCGCTGTTTAAGTTTAACATAACTGTATATTTTGTGTTCCGTGTACAGTACATCGCATCCGCGGGTGCGTTATAGCGGTCAGATGAAAGCTATTGGCTAAAAGCCTCCTTTTTGTCGCGGGGGGACCGCCCAATCCGAACCGTCTTTTTACATGTCTTTTCTTGTCTTTTTGTAACTGATCGGGAAGCTTTCATAGTTTTATCTTGCGAACAGTTTTCTGTTCACGAACAAATCGTTCATAGTTTGAACTGGCTTTTCGCAATTTTTGTTCAAGACAGCTCCGAACATCAACTATGAAAGCGGCATTACACAAACGTCTTCAGACAGTCGTTAATCGACAGAGTACTGACGTAGAATTAGCGTTCGTACAAATTCTTGGCGGCGATACAACGAAATATTTTGGTGTATGGCCGAGAACGAATGATCAATCAGTTCGTCGGCGGAATGTTAATATAACACACCGGTCAGCGCCTTAGCGGTATCATTATATTATGGTATTTCGGTATCGGTCACCGAAGAAATGGCTAGTCCTATAAAATGTTGCCAATTTTATTCCTGTTGTCAATTGTCGCGCCAGTTATTGACCGGCTTATTCCACAGAGCCGCAGGGAGATAAAATGAAATAAAATGCTGCAGATCAATCGTCTGCTAACTTGATCCTTGCGGTATGCAGATAGTGGGTGCAGTACTGTACACATTCATCCCTGCTGACTGTAATCTGCCGAAAAAATTAAAAATTCGAATCATTGCCTGCTGGACTGATAAAATTTCAGTAGTTTAAACGTATCAGCGCTATTTAATTCTCAGTGTTTTGGTTTGCGAATTTGGGATGTACTTGAGTGTTTGGGAATTGAGTTTCCTGGTGGATTTGCCATCGTGGGTCGAATAATATATACAATGTTATATATATACTGATTCTGTTTCTGCAAATGTTACAGGTACCTGATCAGTACGCGTCTGATGCCCAACCAGGTCTTCCACCCGCCCATGACGAATACCACGGTCAAGGTGGGCGAAAAAGCCGAATTTCGATGTGCAGTCAGCTTCAACACCATGCCATCCGAACGCCTGGTTTTTGAAGCGCGGTTTATGTGGAGAAACGAGCATGACCTCCTCTACGCCCCGGGAGTGCCGGCATTCCAGCACGATGTGCGCAGGAGATCGGAAATCAATGTTACCAGCAACGTGCCAGAGAACTGTTTGTGCCATTCCACGCTGTACGTCGAGTCAGTTCAGAGTCAAGACGCAGGGCGCTTTGAGTGCTGGTTCAAGATCGATGACATTTTTAGCGAATGGGTTGTACAGTCTGCATATCTTCTTATCGTTGAATGAGAGAAAGCAGTAGTGGCTCAGCTGTTATGGGCATTATCTTCCTCTTTGTCTAATGCCGTTTTCATGGATAAAACAATTATGAATATGAAGCTTCATACATTCACGGTACGTCAACAACACTGATGTATTAAGATTGATAACAACAACCAGAATCTCTTAACAAACTTGTTCCTTCCTGGCAAAGTGCCTAAAACTGCTGCGGCATTTTCCTTCATAATATTCAATCTAATCTGCTGTTTAAGAAATGCCGTGGATCTGCTCTCGCCGGGCTTTTCCCAAAGCATATGTCCAAAGAAGCTGACCACTTCCTTAACACCTTCTCATAAGACTCCCAGCGTTTCCGCTGCCGTTTTCTAGTTCACGGTGGCCCTTGCCCGAAGCTGGCGCCAGGCGGGAATTGTCCAGCCACCATAAGTGAGAAAATTCACTAAATTATGAGTTACGAGTGTACTCGCTGTAACCTTTCAGAGCGCATGCTGTAGTAAAGCCGTCGCTGTGGGACGGTTCGAGGCAGTTAGCCGGAAGCAAACGTCTGAAAAATCCTTACTGGTGCGCACAAATTCCTTCGTATCCTGGCAGCCTTTCATCAAGTTTCTGAGGATCTATTTCGACCATGGGAGAAAATACCATGGCTTCTCTCCTTTGCCGAGTGCTGCTTCAATCTCCAGTGGCCTTTCCATCAGCATCATTATGCCGCGGCTTTCCTGGCGTTAGAAACGCAGTGCGTGTCCGTGCAGCATTTGCAGCAACACACAGCCCACACTCCACACATCGCTGGCCCATCTACAGCGGTCGCTTACGCCATAAAAAACTCGTGTCCCGTATACACCGTGGTGCCCGCAGCACCGTTGACCTCGTCGGCGGCCGTGATGGTGCCCTGTAGTTTGGCGGTTAGACCGAAATCGGTCAATTTCACCATTCGGTTGTTGCTCTGCATAAAGAAATACCACTACATGATTTACCATGAACAAATGCTTGCGTACAAAAAAATTGCATATGCAGTCAGAAAGCTATATACACAAACGTGCATTAACCGATCCTAAAAATGTAATGGCAAACGAAATAATAAAAAACGACAGTGAGTTATGCATAGCACTAAAATGGCACATGCATAAATAATTCTTGGAGTAGCATATTACAGGAAGTGCTTTTGTTAAAAAACATTGGTTCTCGTACGCAGTTTGTAAATATTTTGGATACCTTTGAATGGTTAGTGGATTAAGCACTGTAAATCTGTGTGTATGAAGTTGCGCGGATTTTTAGGAAATTATACGAGGATACACCATATCAGAGACGACGCACCATAAATTCGCTTACATCCGTAAAACATTTTTAAATAACCTGTGAGACTGGGTGCTATTATGCTATAACAATATGGGGTTCAAACCCAAACGAGAGCAAACGTTTAGACTTTTCGAAAAGTTCGAAAAGTTTTATAATTTTAAGTTTTATACTCTGATTTTTTAAGTATTTTAGTTACATTTGTTTACTCTTGACAGGATAAAACGAAAAAAGCCGGTTCAACTGGTAACTGTAGGTGGTTGATTGCCATTTCAAATACGGGTTCGAACCAAGGAGGCTTTCTAAGCGATGTTTTGAATATTGTTTTGAAATGTTTGCTACCCCGTTTCAGGACCGTTGTAGACGGCTAACTGTACTCTACAGTTACCATCATCACCACACTGGTGTGTATTTTCTCTGTTCTGATCTAATCCAATATTGACGATGCCGTTCGCAGATAATCCAAACTTCCCGCAAATAGCAAATTTGCAACATGCAGCAAAGAAGTTTCGATCCACCTTAAATCGTTCTGCTTTCTTTTGCGCTAAAGCTGTAAACAGGCTGTGCCACCATCATCGGGGAATGGTTTAGTAGTTTTGCACATCCAATTATGTACAACATTACGCGCATGTGCCGTCATTTCGCGCGTACAAGCTGATTATTCTCAAGCACCTGGAAATTTATTTATTGACTCAGGAGTAGTCGCCGTACTGTTGGAAATGCCAATCGTTAAATCAAACCTGAAACATCTCAACTATCCGCTCGTCATGGGACAAAAGAAGCATATTAATTTTCAATTAATTATTATGGACATTGCTTTTGCATGAACAGTTCAATGGTCAGCAGACTCAGCAATTGCAAAACAATGCGTGATTCTCCACGAATATTTGTATCTGTTCTCAATTCAGCGCCCGGCATGTTCGTCCGCTCATCAGCAATCACACAACGGAAAGCTTTTAAATCACCATAAACGTCTGAATAAAAACCAGAACCAAGCCCACGTAATAATCAGCCAAAAATTATTAGGTGAGAGTATTGTGGACTCAAAAAGCAGTCTCTGTAGCGTTAAGGTTCCGGCTTGTACGGGTCGCAATGGACGAGTTGCTGTTGGGGTTCACTTTTTTCCCCCAACCGTGATACTTTGCGTGCCGGATAGAGCTCAACCATCGTCTGAGCATGGAGCGATAATCTCGGTTCATAGTGAAAAAGATGACCTGCAACAACCGATTTGTTACCGATAATCAGAGGTTTGTTACGATAGTACGATTGTTTAATAACATTTACGCTTAGAAGAGCGAGGCGGCCGGACAAATCGAAGTGCCGCACTAGAGATAATCTTTCACGGGATTCCAGTTTTAACCGAGATACTGCATGCCGCTACGTCTGTTTTTGTACAAGCCCGTTTCAAAATCAGTGGCCACAGCAAGTGCGATGCAGTGAATAGCGCACAGTAATGTTAAATTTTACAAATAGCTACTGTACACAGTACAAGCTTATCCGGTAATTTCTGCCGGTTCAATACAGCGAAATACACAGATTTGCGTGTTACGCCAAACTCCATGCTACGGCGCGCCACGCCACACTGTTTAATACGTAACGTGCATCTGGCTGGCTGGTGGCTTGGTGCATGCCAGATAATTTAATGAGAATAACAGTAACTGCCTGGCGGAAGGTGGCTAAAAAACGGTCGCTGTAGTAATGGACAATCTAACTGCGGAGCGCATTTAGGCAATCTGATAAGCGCAGTGACGTGGCTATGGATTTACGCGCAAATTTCGCGCTAGCTGTACCTTTACGACAGAAATTACCGGACAGGCTTGTACACTGATGAGTAGATTGCGATGCAGTGTCCTAGAGCACACAGTGCTCGTAATACTTATTTACAATGCAAAGGATTTGTAAAAATGCATTGGCATGCTTACCGGGTTGCCACCATATCCCAGTAGAAAGACGAATCGTAACCACAGCAACGTTTCAGCGGTGGGACGCGCTAGACCCCGGTCTTCGAAAAGCGTCAACAAAGGCTGCGGAGAAAAGCAGACACAGTGCCACAGTGCCGACATCAGTAGGACGAGCGCCAGTTGCAAGGAGCGCCGGAACGACGCTGGGTTCTGGTGACTGCGGCGCGATAGCTTTTGCACAGCAACGAATGCAAACATCGTAGCATAAATGCTCCATATCAACGTTAGCGGCAGATGTGACACCAGCGTCTGGTGGATCGTCCGGGCTTCCGCGGAACGGGCTTTAATGGCGCAAACATTGGTCGGTGGGATCATTTCGAATCTCAGTTCCCGCCCGATCATGTGCGGAACATAAAACGCGCCACAGATGAGCCACGTAACCAGGATGAACAGTATGTTGACGCTTTGCTTCGTCCAATAGTCGCGGAATTGAATGGGAAAGCAGAGTGCGACAAAACGGTTTATGGCCAGGATAGCCGAGGAGTAGTAGCCGACGGTCCGGAATATTGCAAAAGGGAATTGAATGAAGAAGCAGACTGTCGGAGTGACCTTTGCAGAAAAACATCCATTAGAGCTTTGAGCTAGAGTCATTCACGGTAAATTTAATGATTTATAACTCGAGAATTGTCTATACGTAGTAAACGTTAGTAATCGTTATTACATCAAATTGCAGTTTTAGGATTGCCTTAAACATCTTAAAACCGGTTTTCAAGATTGAAAAAGCTGTAAGCAAAGAAAGTTTGCTGTACATTTTGGAAATCAATTTTTCCCACAACTCGTTAACCGGATGTTGTAGGTGGAAACAATTCCCTTCTCTTCTGGAGAAAATCATTTTGCCACAGACTCTTAAAAAGCAACCCACAAGTTTTTGACACTCAGCGAAGGCAATGCTCCTGGTTCTATACATGGATTTCGTACCATGTACCCGCGGCACAATTTCTTAATTTAAAAAAAACCTTTGATTAGGACATAGTTTTATAAGCAAATTGTAACTTAAGAATCCCTTAATATTAAAATAGAGCTAAAGATTGTACACGAATTTCTCGTGTAAGCATAGAAGAGTCAGCAATACACAACGCATAATGAATGCCTTACTGGATACTGCGCGTAAAGGATCTGCGTGAAACTAATCGGATGGTTGACGCAGCACATAATCATTTCCACCGCGGTGGCATGGACGATTAGCAGTCGCGTGCCGCTCCGATCCCGTCCAGATGAACGCTTGGACATTTGCCAGTGCTCCCACACGGCACCCATTAGTAGGAGACAGGACGCTCCTCCCAGTGCGCAAAACGACATGGACACCCCATACCACACCATTAACCGCGGCTGGAAGCTAGTGCTGTTTCTTTGGGTTGTGTTCCGGATTGGTTCAAGGTAGGATGAATAATTAGTCGATTGATTACCGAGAAACCAACGCTGGTAGTCGTCATAATGTACTAACATTGTGGTCAAAACTCTGTGACAAGCTAAGCGAAACGTTCATCGATTTTGACTGGTGTAACGCTGGTAATGGCCGCAGTGCATCATCACAGCACCAAACTCTACCGTTTTATACGTCGCAGATTAAATGCCGCTATCCGCGTGGAAGGCGTATAAATATCGCATAATGACGTGCGTTAGTCACGGACGCATATCCTCCTCCTGCCTGAGGAGGTCAGCAGAAAAATCGACATCCACAGATTAGTGATGTTTACCGGATTTTCACGTTGCTGGCATTCACCGTTCTCCATGCCCACGCCGCACTCTAGGGGCTTTCCTGTACTAGGAACCATACGAAGTAATACAAGAAGCCCTAGAGTAGGGTCGGGACCATACATATGCTCTTTATTTAACAGCGGGCGGCCTCTTAAGACCGATGGTAAGGATCGTTTCTTAAATGTCTAGTAAACTATTGTCGATGACTCGATCGAGACCCTTCAGCAGTAATAATATATTTAATCCTGTTGTGCTCACTGGTCCACTGTGGCCCGGGTCAAAAAGAGGGAGGGATAATTAAAGGAGTGGAGATAAAATTAAGGAAGGAAGGGAAAATTAAAGGAAGGGATTTGAGCGGTCGATCAGAAAGAGGGAGGGAAATTTCTTTGGCTAAGAAGGGTAGGAACGCTTTCGGGCGAAAAGGAGAAAAGGAGTTTTCTTGGTCAAAAGCGAGTTTTCGCGGCATACACGGTAATGTTAAAAAATTTTAAATGTCATGAGTGTGCTTTTCTTAAGGACGGATCATTAGATTTTGAACACCGGATCACCCTTGTATCCAAATTTCCTGTCAATACACAAATTTCCAAATTAACTATTTTACATAGTCACCATTTTGGCACGTCAATCTGGATACAAAAGGTACTCCTACTGATGCCATGCTGAAAGCAAACTGAGCAAGACGCACAAGGGCGCGTTATAGCAATTGCGATTAGCAGTTTATCATGCGAAAGCCTGTGAGAATCAGGACTTGTGATGCATTTATAACTGTAAAACGGCAGTGGTAAATTATGTAAAATAGTTCATTTTAAAAATAATTATATAAAATATTTATGTAATATCCTTTCGCACCATCGGAAAATTTGAATACGTAGTTTACCCGTCGTTCGAAATGTCTAGTCCAACCAATCAAACTGCTCCAATGTTGAAAAAAGTCGAAGCAGGTGACAACAAGAATTGCAAGGTCAGTTATTTTTTCGCCATTTTTGTAACTGTCACTATTTTAAACCTTAGTTCAGGAAAATGTTCCTGTAAACGTGAGTATGATTAATAAAAGCCAATATTAAATCGTCAGTCTTGAGCAACGACTGTGCGGACATTACATCAAATTTAATAAGTTATTTAATACTTCCGTTTTTAAATTTATAATTCAAATATGATAATCGATATCTATTAATTTTAAATGGCAAAGATGGCACGAAACTGAATTCACTGTCAACAATATCGTGTACTCTTTACACGCGAAAGCCTGAGTAATACCAAGAGTAATACCAAGAAATTAACATAATTCAGAGTAATAATTACAATAATTACTAATTAGTAGTAATTACAGTGTAATACCAAGAAATTTCTTGCGAAATACGAGTACAATACTGACATTATTATCCGGAATGCTTGAAGTAGCTCCCGAAAATAGCTTCTGAAAAATTTGTGTTGCTTACTATTTGCTCGCTCTGAATTTTTCAAATTTTTGGACCGTTGAATTCCCTTGTTTGTTAGTAGAAATTTTCTACTTCTTTTTGACCATCCAAACAACTCTCCTATTATTTTCCCTCTCTCTTTTTGACCTTGGCCTCTGAAGAATACTATCTTAGACATTGCGTGGGTGGATCACTGAAATTTCTGAGCAGCTGAGAAGCACAGAAATCGATGAATGAGAATTAAAATAATTATTGCGCGCGACAGTGATTGCATCAATAATCTTCTTTTAATGTATGGCAGAAAAGCGCAGAAGGGTGGTGCGAGTGGTATGAATACAAAAGCATTGCGCATACACAAAGCCAAAAAGCAAAAAAGCTAGTGCATAAGTACTGAATACTAAGGGTGCAGCAACGCAGCGCGCAAGTGAGGCATTTCGGGCGCAAAAGGGAATGCATGCACGTCATAAATGGCTCTGACAACATTTCCAGAACATTACATAAGCCCATGGATGACGGAATGCGCTACCTGTGGAGACACTCTGCAGGGTCTGCATCAGTTTACGGGAAAGTGGTTATCCCTTCATGGGCGACCTTTGAATCCGTGCGTCCGCATTGCGGTTCTATACGGTTCTTACGCAACAACTTGAACGCATGGTGATCTTTTATCTCTGCGATCTCCGTCCGCTGTGTGGTTAGACGTTTTATAGGTAGAGAATCTGTCAGTCTTCAGTGCACAGGCAGCACAGCTGAGTAAATTACTATAAAAAATTAATGCATTTAGGAACAAGTAAACAGTTTCTCCGATTCATCAAAACTGCCAGCAGATGCCGACATAGAATGCAGTGATCAAGCCACATTTACGAGGCAAATTTCAGGAGAAGAGCTGTTGAAGTTTCTTTTACGAAAGTATATGAAATGGAAGCGCTTACTCTTTCGCTGAGGCAGAAATTCTGCTGCAAGGCCACATGGTAAGGCTAAACTTTGATAACAGCCACGATCACTTGCATTCAAGCGGTAATAAGGTTCAATATGAGTAAGATGAGCCCTGATACGCTGCAGTAGTGAGTAAGGTAGCCAGCGACGGCTGCAACAAAATTATGCAAACTAACTCTGATTAGAACTTTATAGCTATTTCCTGCGGATACAGATATGAGCATGCCAGCGTAAAAAGGTGGAGCCAGTTGCTATTGTTGCACTATATTGTACTTTATCACGTAATTGACCGAAATATAAGATTTATGTCGTGCACGGACAAACCGAAGGATTACACTGATTGATCGCACTGAATTTAACTAACTGTGAATTTTTAACAATTCTGACAAAATTAATTCAGCGGTACCTATAGCGGACAGTATGGGTATGTGGGTTTTGATAAATCGGTGCTTTAAGTGCTGTCTGGAGATCACATCTGCCCAGTTGTTAGATTACTTATTATCCAGCAGTTCATCAGAAGAAACCTGCAGGATTTAAGAAGAGTAAACTTAAGTGAATACTGAACCGTTTTCGTGAATCGCTATAATCAGTTAGTAAGCTTGCAAAACATAACACGATGTTACAAAAAGTACGTTATGACACACTAAAATATTATTCTTGGAGGCAAGGTAATTCAGCCGAGCTATAATGCGGCTATGTTACATTGATTGCTGACCTTCTCCACAACAAGCGGATATGCCGACTGAACAGCCCATTCGTCAAAAATGTTATCGACCATGAACCAGAACTCGTAGCGTCCCTGGTCGCTCGCTTGAACGCGATCGAGGTACAGGGTCGAGTGGCACAAGCAGCCTCCATCCTCACAACTGGCGGTGTGGATGTCTACTCCCGGCCTGCTACGCACATTGTGCTGGCATTCCGGCACCCCCGGGGCATACAGAAGACCGTGCTCGTCGCTTCCGCCGATAGATTTCCACACAGAGTTTGATATACGAGTACGGAAAATCTCAAGCCCGATATATGTACAGACCTTTTTCCAATGCAAAAGTATTTTTGGCCGTTTGTTTTTATTTCAAGCATTTTTCCTGACAAACGCTCTTGTTCTAGACAAGATAAACTTTTAAATAACTTACTGGCAACAAAAAGTTAAAGAAGCGACAAGCTCAAAGCTCTGATATCGTTTTATTCCGGTATGGATAGTTTATTGTGGTTTTTTGGGTGCCCCTGGCAAAGGTGGGGGTTTCACGGTTCCCCTTTGAAATACCGTGCTAAAACTTTAAATCCCAACGTGTGCGCCGCCGGTGGGAGGGCGACTCGTGTAAATACCCGGCAGGGGAAAGGCATCGGCCGGAAAAATCTCTCGGGCGGATACAATTTCTTTCCCTATATTTCGCAGAACTACACTAGGACAAAGTTATGCCGGCGCTACACAACGATTGGTCACCGCTAAGTTCCCGTTGACCATATGCAGTTATTCATACGTCCCGGACAGTTGGTACGAGAAGTTAATCAGACGAATAAAGTATGTGGGTGAGGCGCGGTGTTTTAGCAGCGCCGTCTCTGACTTCCAGACATAGTCAGGCGGGAGGATCTTACAGCTACAGTGGAATACCGGCGGCCTTTCCACTTGATTACTTCCAGCCGATACCTGTCGGCCATTGTAGCGGATCAGCGAAGGTTGTGCAGTGGTATTGTCTCCGCACGGGAGTATCACGTCCTTTCCTTCCGGCTCTCGTATGACGATAAGCCCAGCCGACTGAAGTTTTACACTGCTCGGCTGACTAAGGATCTCTGGACGCACCACCCCGTCTCGGTTGCTTTTCAGCGCTTCATCCAACAGCTGCAGCGCTGCATACAAATGACAAGATGATAACGACACGAAAAGACCATGAGCATCGAGCCTCGCCAAAACAAACGTATGTACCAATTAAACCAGGCGAGTCTGTGCTGGCAGCAGTGGACGGGCAGGCATCGGCCTGGTACGGCAGCAAAAGAAGGCGCTAGTCAGACATATCAGCACCGATACCGTGCTTCTATGCATTACGTTCCCTCTTCCTTGGTGGACTGCAATAATGATCAAGTAAGGCAGACGCGAGTAATTGCTGGAATTGTACAGCGTTTAGCGAAGAGAACAGAAATCGCAGAAAAGTGGGTGCTGAGAAAAACCCTGCTGCGAGTGGGATGAAGCAGAAAAGACGTGTTATTTAGTTACCGCGTGCCCATGGGTGGCTGCCACTACCTATCGCTCCGAATATTTTAACCCCAGAGCACCTCGTTTGAAAATTCACTGCGCTTTCCAAATGAAATCACCGAATCCCTCAAACGTTGCCCTTCATGTTAAGCAGAAAAAGCGTCGTTCGCTTGAAACCAAACGAGCCCAAACCGTTTCCATACTCGTACCGTGGAGGCAGTGGCAAGTTGAAAGGAAACTTGTGAACAAGGACACAAGGTTATTGTCAAGGCTAGTTACCTTGCATCTGTAGAAAATTGTATCGGCTATCGCAATATTCGGGTAAAAAGCAATTAAAATCGAAAAGTCAATTTGTATTTTATGTTTATCCTGCATCTGGTAATTTTGTTTATTTCCATTTCGTGAAAGCTCTGAATTTTCGATCCATGTTCGCATTTACCTTATTTGACCGCTTCAGCGGCGTTCTTGTGGTAAAAGTTGGATCGGACCTGGAAACGTTACGTCTCGCCCACCGCCCTTTTCTAACTGTCTTGACACCCGACCGCCTAACAGGAACCTCATCATCTACAGCTTCTCGGCTTTGCCGAACTTCGGCTTCTGCTCTAGAACGGCAACTGAACGGAAACTCCTCGCCGAACTGGATTTGTTGTGTTAGCCTTTCGGGTTTTCAGTAGGAAAACGCTGGTTGAATTTCTTCAACGACCATTTGCAATTAATGGCTAGAGCGGTAATTGCAACCGCCCACGGGCAAGAGATAACTGAAGGCTACACAGCTCTTCATACGCGCAACAGATTTCGCAGCCACACTTTTCGCTGTTTTTCGCTGCCGAAATTTCTCTCAATGTAGTATTAATTTTTCCGTCGTACTTGTGCACTAATACAATACGCTAAAACACTAACCAAATTATTATGTCGAGAAGCCGGTTAGTGAACAGGTTCTTCTTTATTAAGATAGCGCTGACGCTACGATTACGAAAATTAAACTTCGAAAATAAATTTGTCAAAAATATTCCATCCAGTTTGAAAATAAAATCGTCTTTTCTTCTGAAAACGCAACGCGCTTAACAGATGTGCGGTAAAATCAAAACCAGAGCAGATTTGAAGTTCGAAGTCATGTCTGCGTAAGTATTTACAGAGCGATGACACAAAGTCAATCCTTCTTGACAGTTTCCACTTTTTGTTTTAACTGAAACGTCACAGTTTATAAACTGCCTAATTTTCCATAAAATAACACACTAAACACTAAAATACGAAAAGACACTAAAATACGTGCACCCATTACAGTATTGGCACATTGCAATTTACAGCAAGAGGTAAATTAACTTTACAAATTAGAATTAATTAGATTACGAGGTAGATAAATTTTACGGCGGTTGAGCCACAGCGGATGACACTCGTTATAGGACCCTGAGATATGCAGACTGCGCAATCCATTCGTTAAAGATGTCATCGATCTTGAACCAGCACTGATAGCGCCCTTCGTCCCCTCTCTGCACTCGCTCGATGTACAACGTCGAGTGGCACAAGCAACCATCTTTGGCCATTTAACCGTAATTCTTGGTCTTATGCGTACATCGCGCTGGAACGCTGCCACTCCCGGGGCGTAGATGAGATCCTGGTTGTCTGTCCACAGAAACCGGTCTCCAAAACCCACGGGAGACGATGGCATGGCGTCGAATTTCACTGCGCATCGGAACTCCGCCTTCTTACCTACAGTGGACGTGGCATTTGCCATGGGCGGCTGGAAGACTTTTTTGGGTATCAGGCGCGGACTGATAAGATACCTGTAACAGAGCTGTATAACTGGGGCCGGTTTCCGTAATTATTCGAACTTATATTATATCTGTACTATCCAGAACAGATGCACAAGACATGCCAAGCAACAAATATTAGAGCTGTACTTCCAGGACATATGCACAAGACATGCCAAGCAAGATATACTTTACTACAGTATATGATATCTGTTAACTATCCAGAACAGATGCACTTAGACATGCCAGATTTAATTCAATTCACTACTGGAGTCGCAAAACGTAAAGATTGACATCAAAATGTCGTCAGTACGATTGGACAAACCAGAAGTGAGTCATTTACAGAAGATTTACTGGCTCGAACTATCTCGCATTAATAGCATCCTTTACACAATCTATTGTGTAAAGGATGCCGCCGGCAGAAAGACGACCGGATCAAACGTACGGCCGGCAGAAAGTTTTTGCGGCACAAAAAAAAAACAGAAAAAATTATTGTTTCACTGCTGTCTCTTTCAGTCAAGTTTTATCTTCTTGCTGAAGTAGTATTAGCAACTGCCGAGAGACTCAAATGCAGCTGTAACCTACCGATTGTATACTGCCGGTTCCCCTTTGAATATGTGCAGACATTCGTATGTCCCGGACAAGCGATGCGTGAAGTTATAGAGGCGAAGAGAGTACGGGGCCACGAAGGGAACCTGGCTCCACAACGTGATGCCGGAGATCCAGAAATTGTCGGACGGATTGATCTTACAACTGCAGAGATGCAACGGCGTAGGGTCTAATGGACCACCGTTAGCTGGCAGCTGTCGGCCATTGTAGCGGATCAGCGGACGCTGCGCGATGATGTTGTCGCCACACGGAAGTGTCACGTTTCGGCCTTCCGGTTCCCGCACAACGACAAACCCAGCCGGCGGACTGGGTTGACCGGACGGCTGGTCTGCGTTTGAAATCTGCAGACGTACCACCCCGTCCTGGCTGCTGTTCAGCGCTTCATCCAACAGCCGCAGTACTAGAGCAAAAAAAACAAGAATGATGGACTTCTCGTTTACTCTGTTTAGGTAGTTGCTTCTGGCATATATAGTTATTTCATGAATGGGTGAGGCGGAGCCAAAATGCGACGCCCAGCTGCGGCGTGTCAGCATAACTCACGGAACAGCAAGTGAAGCATTACGCATTCAATAAACTGATAACTGCAGAACTTACTCTTGTGACGCTCAAAGTCTCAAACTATCGCCCGGTGCATTCGATTCAAAAAAAATTCTGAGTCAGAAATATCAAGAAACACACCATTCTAGACCATTTCCCGACCGTGCTGTTTTAGTAACAGCAACAGGTAACTTCAATGCGGGTTTCAAAGTTCGATGCGAATTGGAGAATGCGGCGAAAGATGGGCAGTAAGAACCATGGAAGAACATGCGGAAGTAGAACTACGCGGCGAATGTTCCAGTTACAAAAAGTAACATGCTTTTACAGCAACAGGATGACAACAGACTGCTGACTCACTACAGAGAAAGAGGGAGATGCAGGAAAAAGGAAAGCTGGAAAACTGTCGAACCCGTGCGTAAGGAGAGAAGTGGCTCACGTACAGCGACAAATCTTTCAAAGGATTTCAATTTATTGCGCCGTTTTGCAGTGGTACTGCCTACGCGGATCTAAAGACGTAGTCGGGGTTCGATTCCCCCATCGGTGCATTTTTCAGCCGTTTCTCGGTTTCCCTCGAATTGCTCCCTGCTGATACGTGCAGATTAGCTCTCGTGAATTGATCAGTCAAAAGTCACCCCTATGGTGCTGCCTACCGCTACTATTTTTGTGTATTTTACGTTAACCGCCAGTTAGGAAAACAACTAAATTTAAAGAAAGTTGTACCGTTTATATCAGAGGAGTATGGGCGGACGGGGCAGGCATCCGCAGGATACTGTAGGAAATGTAGGGCGCCATTTAAAGTGACAAAAACTGATGCAAAAATACAACGCATTATGGTAAGGATCCTTTTTCCCTTAAATAATTGGCAATGGTGAGCAATTGCAACAGAAGCCAATAAATACTTCAGTGAGTAGTGACTAGCCTCACCAAACTGGTGAGAAAGAGGCAGCAGAAAATGTTCTCACCATCTGTTGCTGCACGACCAACGCACTACGAATGCGAAACGACTGCAGCTGCTGGGATCCGTGGGCGGCTGCATCTACCGCCATACCAGTTAAGTAACTTCAAACGACCGTGGCCAGTTTAAACGGGCATGGTCTTCAGCCCTCACTTCCCTTAACTGCTGGTGTAATTATTAATCCCATGTTCAGCGAGAAGACTCTCACCTCTCCTGTTTCTGCACACGAATTTAACTTCCACAAAAACAGCGATTCGCCATTGCTCGAGTGACGGCTCACAACGCCTGTGGCAAGTTTCGCATCACAGTAAAAACTGGGCTTTTCTTCGAGCAGACTGCAGACACGGTAGTCATCGATAGATAACAGGTGGACATTCGTAGAAGCTAAAGTGCAGTGACGGATTACGTGTAGGTACTGTGATTGGGTATTGGCAACATTGATTGAGCCATTGGGCTACCCGTTCCCCGTGAACACCGACTGGCAAAGTGCACCCCGAATCTTTTCAAAATCAATATCTCACCTGAGTGGTGCGTCAAGACGAACGTTTTTGGTAGCGGCCTCTCGCCCTTTAAACCGGCCTGCACGGAATACAGCTTACAAAGTTATCGATTTGCCACCCACTCCGTAATATACTTAAACAAATGCCTTATCTGGGCGGTATCATCCCATTTCGCCTATGGGACATTTCGCTTATGGGACATTTCGCCTATAAATTCGATTCGAATCATATTAATAACGCTAATACCTAAGCGTTTTCTTATGGCTTAATATTTTTTCTAATATTTCCATGTTTTCTTAGGTTTTCTTAGGTTTCTTGGGATTTCTTTAGTTTTCTTAGGTTTTCTTAGGCATTCTAGGTTTCTTAAGTTTCTTACTTAAGTTCTTCGGTTTTCTTACGTTTTCTTAGGTTTCCTAGGTTTTCGGGGTTTCCTTAGGTTTTCTTAGGTGTGTTATTTATGATTCGAATCAAACTGTTAGGCGAAATGTCCTTTAGGCGAAATGTCCAGTAGGCGAAATGGGTGGCAGCCATCTGGGCTGAGTGGGCTCCCTTTAGAGGACAGGCGCATATCGGGGCTCCCCTTTAGTTAACACAGTTGCAAAACTGTAAGTACTAATGCAACCGCGCCGCGCACGGCTATTGATCGTCTGTTTCGGCTTGTTCGGCGTTATTCGGGAAGGTCACCTTGGTACAGCAGTACTTTGAAGGTACTGTTGTACTTTAAAGTATTGCTGCGATTTTGAAAATATTGTTTTTTAAAGTAATTTAATAGTTTATAATGCCTCAGCGCTTTGGTCGGATCGTTCGGCGTTCTGGTAGAGCGGTACTTCAGTGGCTTTGGAGTACAGGAGTGAAACTCTCTGTACCAGTTCTGTCAGCGGCACTGATTATGAAAGCCTTGAGATCAACCGGAAGCGAGGGCACCCAAATTTATTTTCCGCGCATGCAGCAAGGAAGAAATAATTTTGAAGCTGCTACGCTAAATATCGAAAAAACAAGGCCCCATCTTAGTGGTGTGCGACTATGGTCACCTAATCGCACCCCCTTTTGGCGACTATGGTCATAAAAGTGCGACTAAGGTCACCCCCTAAATTTGCTTGGCGCTTTTTTCTGCCGGTAGTGGCAGAAACTGAAGTGAGCCGCTGGTGGCAAAATTATAACCAGGTTTTGGCAGCAGCCAAAATGGCGCAGGCCGTCTCCTCCGACACCAATTTTTGATCTTCGCCTTTCCATGGGCGTTAGTGATAAGCACTCATTGATTAAAAAACCACACAGCGCTCAACACAAAAAAAATTATACGAGGATTTGTTCAGCATTTGAATCTGTAGCCAGGTGAATCGACCTGCGCATCAAGCGCATAATATGTGTTTGATGCGAGTAAAAAAATAAAATACTATCTAATTAGGACATGATATTATCATGTCCTAATTAGATAGTACATGTTTGCATGACATACGGACGGGCGGACGGACGGACGACGGACGGGGCGACGGCAGTGATCAATCAACAGTGTATTACACGGTACGTCAATAAATAAAGCAATTGACACTTGAAAATGGTACTTACAAAACGACGACGTAAATGTTTAATTTATTAGTGCTTAATCAAGTGCACAAAACAAAGGTGCTTGCACCAAAAGTGCACATGCATGCACCAATGGTGCAATTGAATGCACCATTGGTACGGATCTTTACTGGTGCCTAATTTTTAAACCCGTTTGAATTTAAATACTTTGTTTTCTTAAGTAATTTTCTGTACAGAATTTGCAAGCGTCGCATAGTTGGCGGTACAGCATGGACGTAAGAAAAGAAAAGAATGCCTGACAAGTACGGAATAAAACTGGGCAAAGTAGCGTGCGGTGGCGAGGCGCAACCATCGGCGGTCAGATTACCATAGCCACCGTGGATATCCGCATCGAGCCTATTCAATATTATGAGACCAAACAAAATTGTCAAAGCAAAGCCCATTAATTGTTCACCGGAAACAGCGAATCGGAAAGACCGACATACCTGCTAGGTTGATTCCTTATTTTTCCGGCGCTGCATAGAAATACGACGAATATACGGTATGTACGAATATACAGTGAATCACACTAGGGAGATTGGGCGGTAATTGAAGCCACTGAAAAAGCCATGCGCTTGTTAGGCCTTGCTGCTATTTAAACGCACTGGGTGGTTATTATAATTATGTTGTTTCTAATTACCGTATGTTGTTTCTAATGCGCAGACGTTAGTAATACTTTATGTACTTCTGTCTCAAAATCTGCCGGCTCTCGATAAATCAGTGTATGCTTAAAAGGGAATGAATAATTGCAGAATCATAAAATGATAACACGGGAATTCAGCAATACGGTTGAAAACTTAGAATCTTAAACATGCAGAAATTTTGACCTTGTGAGCTTGCAAGATTCACAGAAGTCTGTGAGTTCGGTCCTATAGTCACCGGGCGCAGATTTGCCCGTCTGGTTCCTTGTTGCCTTCTCCGTTCTTTGTACAAACGGTACAAACCCTCGTCCAATGTCGGGGCTTTGTACAAACGGTACAAAGCCCCGACATAGGACGAGGGTTCTGAACGCAGTAGTGCTTTTGCAGCTCCGCAGACAGCTTTGCATAACTGGCCTGATGAATCTCCAATCACAGCCTGTTAACAGCAGCGCCATATTGTAAGGTAATACTGCTGATTATAATGAAAATGATATCATTCATACTAAAACAATAGCCATGAGCATTACTTACGTACCCAAGCGCTGTCCTACCATTCAATAACAACCACTAACGGGCATCTAATCAATAATTACGCAAACAAAAAAATCTTATAATAATATTACTGCAATATTGCATTTGGATAATAATAGTATATTACAGTATTATGCTCTGCGTGGGTTTTGCAGTCCTTTTTCATGTTAGTTGGAACCAGTTTCTCATTAAGTGAATGTAATTACTTAGAGAAGCTGGTTTGTGTACTCTGTAAATATTGCGAATAAAGCAGCAAGAATAGAATAATTTCATTGATAAAGATCACTGATAAATAAGTATATCATTATAATAACAAATATTATACTTATAAAATAACGGGCATCAGCCAGCCAGATCGCAGCAATTTCATCCGCTGTGACGCGGAAGATCAGTATTAAGACTTAATAATAGTAGAAAACACGTAACGAACCAAAATTTAATGCGCAATAGCCACCAAGTTAACAACGATTGCAAGCGCCGTTACACTAATTGATAGCTAAAATTTAAATGTTAAAAAAGCAAACGAAACCTCTGTCTTTTCTTGAGTTGAAAAATAAGGTGAACAAGACAGCCGTGACATTTCTTCTAACAACATAACATACATTTTTACAGTTTGGACTATATGTATTCATGATCACGTTACTCACGCGTACAATATCACACTGCAAAAACTGCCACCGGCGAGCATACAAGTTTTCTATTTCGTAAAGGTCAAGTGCCGCAGCAACATGCCTCCAGTAGTGCTTGTGTAGACATTAATTAAGATTTAAGATGATTTAAATTTAAAGGTTGAGAAAACTTTCAAAATCGTTAGTGTTATGCACTATCGTTTGGGCATGATTCCGTGTTCGCAAAGCAACCGTCGCATGTCCTTTGATTAGTGGCAAACTTGAGAAAACTGGCAATTATTACGCGTAGTAAACATGTTGTGCAACGAAAAGTTAATAATGGCCATAGACACTAGAAAATTACAACAAAAATGTGTGACGGCTACAACACTAACGTCAAAACGTAACGGCAACAAAAAATGGCATTGTAGTTAATATCTGTACTGGAAACCGTAAATTCAATTAAATAAGTATCAAAAACTGACTATAATTATTCCAAAACTGATTTGTCGATACTTACGTATGAGAATAATTACCACGCTAGCACTTTATAAGTATCGCTCATCGTCATAAGCAGACTAATAAGTCTTAGGCTAATTACGACGATGACCGATCCAAGGAATATGACATCCTTCACCTGTTCCGGCGTGGCTGCCGCTGCTATATTGACAAAATCGTCCTGTATTCAGTTGAAAAACTTCGAGAAAGTCATCGTAATTCCGAATAGATCCAGCCAAACATAATCGGAGAGGTTAGCTAGTGAAAGGTCAGCGCTATGATTATGCAAATGGATATAAAATCACTTTGCTGGAGTTGCCGGCAACAGCCCAGGCCCTGGACTGTTGTCGGCAACTCGAGCACAGTGGTTTTACAAACTTTGTGGAGTGGACGGATCCGCATGGTGCCAACGAAGATCTAAAAAATATATGCAAGCCGCCGCGCTGCTGTTGGCTGGTCATGACGTTACTGCGTATTTGGTTCGATTTCCCGGGGATAACCCACGGATAATGGAGCCTGGTATCAGGCCTACCTGTTATGGTTATATCCGACTGCGCA